TTCTAGCTATTCTCTGGAATTCTGCATTAAATTGGGTGTATCTTTCCTTTTCTCCCTTGCCTTTTGCTTCCCTTCTTTCCTCAGCTATTTGTAAAGCTTCCTCAGACAGCCATTTTGCTTTCTTGCATTTCTTCTTCTTTGGGATGGTTTTAGTTGCTACCTCTTGTACAATGTGGCAATCCTCCATCCATAGTTCTTCAGGCACTCTATCTACCAGATCTAATTCCTTAAATCTGTTTGTCACCTCTACTGTATATTCATCAGGAATATGATTTAGGTCATACCTGAGTGGCCTAGTGCTTTCCCCTACTTTCTTCCAGTTAAGCCTAAATTTTGCAACAAGAAGCTCATGATCTGAGCCACAGTCAGCTCCTGGTCTAGTTTTTACTGACTGTATAGAGCTTCTCCATCTTTGGCTGCAGAGCACATAATTAATCTGATTTCTGTGTTGACTGTCTGGTGATGTCCATGTGTAGAGTCGTCTCTTGGGTTGTTGGAAAAGAGTGTTTGCTATGATCATCGTAATCTCTTGACAAAATTCTACCAGCCTGTGCCCTGCTTCATTTTGTACTCCAAGGCCAAACTTGCTTGTTATTCCGGTTATCTTTTGACTTCCTACTTTAGCATTCCAATCCCCCATGATGATAAGGACATGGGTGTTTATTCTAGAAGGTGTTGTAGGGCTTCATAGAACCGGTCAACTTCAGCCTCTTCAGCATCAGTGGTTGGGGCATAGACTTGGACTACTGTGATGTTAAATGGTTTGCCTTGGATTCGAACAGAGACCATTAGGTCATTTTGGAGATTGTATCCCAGTACTGCTTTTCCTACTCTTTTATTGACTATGAAGGCTACTCCATTTCTTCTGAGGGATTCTTGCCCACAGTAGTATACCTGATGGTCATCTGAATTAAATTCACCCATTCCTGTCCATTTTAGTTTACTGATTCCTAAGATGTTGATGTTCAGTCTTGTCATCTCTTGTTTGACCACATCCACCTTGCCTGGATTCATGGATCTTACATTCCAGGTTCCTATGGAGTATAAATCTTTACAGCATCAGACTTTCCTTTCACCACCAAATACATCTGCAACTGAGTGTCCTTTCGGCTTTGACCCAGTCGCTTCATTCTTTCTGGCGCTACTAGTACTAGCCCCCTGCTCTTCCCCAGTAGCATATTGGACACCTTCCGACCTGAGGGGGTAATCTTCCGGAGTCATATGTTTTTGCCTTTTGGTACTGTCCATGGGGTTTTCATGGCAAAGATACTGGAGTGGGTTGCCATTTCCTTCTCCAGTGGATCACGTTTTATCAGAGCTCTCTGCTATGATCTGTCCGTCTTGGCCCTGCACGGCATAGCTCATAGCTTCATTGAACTACGCAAGCCCCTTCACCTTGACAAGGCAGTGATCCATGAAGGAGAAGCAGACTCATAAAAAAGTTCAAAAAAGATCAGCTAAGGATGTAATCCAATGCAAAAAGGGGGGAGGGGCTACAATTCCCAGCATGCCCCAGCAAGCATGGCTGGCTGGAGGAATGCTGGGAGTTGTAGGGTTTATTTTGTGTATCAACATGCACATGATTGTGCCCTAAAAGTCTGTTAGCCAAATCCATATGCAAAACTCAGCCTGTTTTGAGTCATTTGAGTTTTTCCTCAACCTGTCCTTTCCCCTTATTATTCAGCCCCGATCTCCCCTAGACATTGCTTTTCTCCAGACCTCTGAGTTCAAAATTTTGGATGAGTTACATAATGTTGTGAACTGCCCAGAAAGTTTTGGCTATGGGTGGTACAGAAATAGTCTTCCTCCTTCTCCTCCTCCTCTTCCTCCTCGTCCACTGTTTTTCCTGCAAGGAACCAAAGGCAAATTGCACAATATTTTCACTGTTCTCATATTAGCCATGCACCTAAGTTCTGTTTCTCAGGACTTAACTGAATGGTTGATGGGGATACATATTACCACATACCACATCTTCTTCTGATTCTCTTTCCCCTAAAATCAGGATTGGTATTAATCCCAGCCCAAGAGGCAGCTTTCTCTGCTCTCATAAAAGATGGACTGCAAATATTCTGCTGAAGTTCATTCTCTGGGCAGGTGGAATGTAAATGAACATTTTATGACATCACATCACTTTGGCCAATAACTATCAGAATTCTCCCTGCCACAAGTACAATATGGATCTTTAAAAAAAAATCATTGAGCTTAGCATCCAAATTCAGAGGTATGCTCATCTGCACAGCCATGGGCCATATCTGAGTCTATTATCCTTAAAAGGATAGTTACAGAATTAAGATACCACTCAGCTGCCTGAAGGAAAAGCAGGTTATAAATGGAATGATTACTTGTCTACATTCAAGCAACCCATTTATGGTCACATAAGACACTCATTTTTTGGTCTGTAAATTTATTTGCTCAGTCGCAAGCCTATGCACTGGTTCTCATGTACACCTAATCACTGATTATTCAGCACTAAGTGGCTCACATGTGAATGTGTCAACTTTGTCTATCGAAAAGCATTAATTTAAGGGGTAAAAACTAGTGTAGTGAGAAGCATTCGGACCCAGCTCACTACATACTGTGCTAGAATATGTTGCTGCTGCATTTGTGGCTGCTGCTGCTGTGGAACATTCAAAAATGCGATTCACACTTGCACCTTGAAGTGGTATAGTCATTTCTTCCAGGTCAGGATTCAACCACTTCATTCTGCTGCTGCTTCCGACCAGTCCTTTATTCCCTCTCTTCCAGGCTTCTTTCTGCATATATTAAAGCATCATAATGAACTTGCTTTACAAGATTTGAAATGCAGAACTATGCCGTGAGCATACATCCCACCTTTCTTTCTTTCTTTCTTTCTTTCTTTCTTTCTTTCTTTCTTTCTTTCTTTATCAAGGGAGAGTGCAAGTTATAAACTTCTATATAGCCTCAAGTGCCTGATCCTGCCTATTCTTTGAAGCTAAGCAAGGTGAGGCCTGATTGAAATCTGGATGGGTGGCTTAATGTTGTAAACCACCCAAAGAGCCTTGACTAGGAGCAGTATAGAAATGTAATGTAATAACAGTAATTACAAGATAAAATTAAGGACAAAATAAATTAAACCAGGGCATTGCTTCACTCAGGCTGATGGATACTGATCTAAGATAATTTATCAGGGTGGTTATAATAATTTAATTTATGATGGCATTACAGAGTAATAGAACTGAGTTAATCATATTTATTCCCCAGCTTTTTCCTGCAAGGAACCAAACAGTATTTTCACTGTTTTCATATTGCAAAGGCACAATAATCCAATTGATGAATGAACAAGAAAAACGTTAAGAAGTGTCCTGCTGGTGCAGAGAAGGGCTCCCTCCCATCTAGTCAGCCAGGTGCCTCCCAGTCCATCCTGGTCCTCCTATGCATGCAGTACAAAGGACAGCCACTTCTCCATCAGCCATGCAGAGAACAAAAGTAGGCAGGGATTTGTGTAATATTTGTATCTGCTAATGTAGACCTCTCGATGCGCATTTTCATGAGAATGTAAATAAAACCATGGTAAATCTCACCCTTCTGTGGGACCCCCGTGTGCCTGACAACCTGTTCTTGATCTTCAAATTGGAACTGAATCAGACAGCTCTTTAAATAGAGAATTGTTCTCTGGCAGTCTCAAATAGAGGACCGTCCAAAAGAGGACACCTGGTCACCTGAGACTCAATTTCTTCTCCCAAGCTATATATGTGAAGTTGCTATTTAATTACATTCACCTTTGATAGGTGTGCACTCCACAAATTTGTATACTCATTTTTAAAGCCATCAAAGGGTCAGTCTCTGTGTTACACCTCAGACATAGGTGACAGACTCTTGGATCCTGCAAGTTTGAGCAATGCAAAAGAAAAGACCTCATTTAATGTAGCAGCATATAAATCAAACAAACAAACAAATAAGTGGAGGTAAAGCCTGTGTTCTACCTAGGAGGGAAGTGAGGGGGCTGATCCTTATCAGGCTACATGTTGATTAGATGGAAAATGAATAAAACCTTGAGGCAAGATCAACTGAGGGTGGCTGGGTGGACTAGAATGAGTGGAAGGGTGGCTCATTTGTGGATCCTTGGGCCTCTCCCAGTGTCAAGGGGGTTTGTACAAAAATCCAAGGGAGCCACATTGGCCATAAGAAAAGTTCCAAATCCACATTAGTGTTATACCTTCATAAGGCTAACTCAAAGATCAACCCTCCCCACAAATGGGCAGCTTCCCAGATCAACAGAAAGCAAGCAGGCAGGTGGGGGGAAGTGGTGCTGTGCCCAGGTGCCCAGAGATGGTTATCAGCACATCTGCATGGTGGGAGTCTTAATAGGGTATAGGAAGAAAGGTACGCTGGCATTCAAATTGGGCTCTGACCAATCAGATGCTTTTAGGTTTCAGTGCCCTGAGAACTACTAGGAACAAAAAAACTGTTAACTCCAAATTGTCACCATTCTGGGCAAACTGGGAAGGCTGGTGGATAGCTGAAGCTTTATAGTTGGTGGACACCTTTGTCTTTATAGTGACAGAGCTGGTGATCATTCCTTGGTGTTTCTCTCCTCCCTGCTCAGATCGATGGCAAGTGAGAACCAGACCAAGCACCCCGATTTCCTCCTCCTGGGTTTAGCCAGTTGGCCAGAACACGAGCATTTGTTCTTGGCCCTGTTCTTCACCCTGTACTTGCTGAACATGCTGGGCAACCTGCTGATCATCCTCCTGATCTGCTCCAATGGCCAGCTCCTCCATGCGCCCATGTACTTCTTCCTCAGCCACTTCTCCTTCATGGATATCAGCGTCACTTCCACCACCATCCCCAAGATGCTGCACAACCTTTACATGGGCCGCAAGAACATCACTTATGCCAGCTGCCTGGCCCAGATGTACTTCTTCATGGCCTTTGACCCCACCAAGAACTTCCTCTTGGGTGCCATGGCTTTGGACTGCTGTATGGCCATCTGTCAGCCCTTGCACTACCCTGTGGTGATGAGCCCAACACGGTGCCACATCATGGTGTCCATAGCGTGGCTGCTGGCCCACCTCCACTCCCTCATGCACACTGTCCTGATGTCCCAGCAATCCTTCTGTGACCAAGACATCCACCATTTCTTCTGTGATTCCCAGCCATTGCTGGTGATGGCTTGCTCTGAGAAGCACCTTAATGAGATGCTGAACTTTTTTGAAGGTGGCATCATCATTATAGGCAACTTCCTCCTCATCCTAGTCTCCTATGCTCTAATTGTTCATGCTGTGCTGTGGGTGCCCTCTGCCCAAGGCCAGGGAAAGGCCTTCCAAACCTGTGCCTCTCACCTGATCGTGGTAACCCTCTTCTACGGCACAGCCATCGGGGTCTACTTCCAGTCTCTCTCCACCTACTCTGGGGACAAGGACAAGGTGGCCACTGTCATGTACACTGTGGTGACACCTATGCTCAACCTCTTCATCTACAGCCTGAGGAACGCAGACATGAAAGCTGCACTCCACAGATCTCTGGCAAAACTAAGGAATGTTTTAAGCAAGCCAGGTGATGTCAAAATTGACTGGAAGGAGGTTGTGGCGATCAGGACTGCTAAAAGGAAGCAATGCTTGGCACAATGCATGGTTGCACTACAGAACCCACTTCCGTGAGCTGTAGTAGTAAGACCAAGGGGACTGGACCAATTCATGGAAAATACAGTTGCCAGTGGCTACTGGCCATGATGTATATATAACATGATGTATATATATTTAACTCCAGTATCAGAGCAGTAAACTGATATATGACCATTGCCAGGAAACCACCAGAAGGATGCTGTTGCACCCAAGACCCATTGACATCTGGGTGGGTACCATGTGAGCAGAACGCTGGATTAGACAGACCTCAGCCTGATCCAGCAGGGCTATTCTGATTTCTATTCAGATCCAGGGCATCAGATCCTGGAAGGGGAATGCAGCATTGGGATTATCTCGTGCACATGGTAGGCATGTCATGAACAGAGCCAGCTGGAGCTGGGGGTCAGACTAGATGGCCCAGGAGGCCCCTTCTGACTTGCTCTATGTTTCATGAAAAGTCCACCTGGGTGGGGACCATTTAGGGAGGGGCAGTCTTGTATTTCACACTACTTCCTTCTTAAGAGCACCTGTATTTCTGCTCAGTGCTCTGGTTCTTGCCTCCTGTGATGTGCTAGCTTTGCACACCAAATGCACACCCATTTGTGGTTCTTTAAGTGATTTTCACCTCCCTTAATAACATTGCTGTAGTTACTATGATTTTTTAAATGAACCATCGTGTGAGTGTGTGCACACACATGTGTACACTGTAGAAAGCTGTAGCAAACAGCTTTTCTACAATGCTGTTAATTGCTGTATCTACTTCTGGGTTCATCGCAGAAGTGAGATCCAAATTCCATGCAGAGATTATCTATTCCCACTCTTCCGCTACTTCAACTCTAGGGGGCACTGTGCTGTAGCGGAATATCCCCATCACACAAGAAAGAAAACACATGTTCTTTTCCTTTCCTTAAAAATTACTCCAAGTTCCCTTTTCTAAAAACACTGAGAGAGAATGAGAGAGTGCTTTTAAGTAAAAGAATAACGGAAAAAGAGGGTCATTACATCGTTTAAACGACCTGTAAACAACCAGGAGTAGGGAATGGCGGGCACAGACTAAACGACTTGTGCTCTCAATCTGCTTTACTTCGAGGCGGGGTGGGGGCGGTCTCCCATCCAGGCACAAACCAAGTTTAACTTCATCAAGCTGCCCACATTGAATCTCCTTGCTGTGTAAATGGCAGCTAGTGGGTCTGATGGGGGTGCAGGAAGACTCTGATCTAATAAAGCTGTGTGTCTTGGCTTGTCATTTTCAAATATTTTCTAATAAAGGGACAGCAAGTTTGTGAAGGAAGGGCTGAATTTGGGATTTGAGGGAGGGAGGGAGACGTCCTATGTGCCTTTGTGTAAAACAATCTTCCCCAATCTGCTGCCCTGTCATGCAACTGGGGATGATGGAAATTGGCCAACAAATATGGTGGATACCCAGTAGTGGAAGGCTGGTATAACGAGAACTAAAGGTTTTCCCAACCAGTTATCAAAACAGAGTCTATTATACCCTTTTATTTTGAATTAGCTGATCCTGAATAACTAGTACCACTTGCTCTCTATGTGCCTACCCTTTTTGTTCCCATGCTTTCAGTCATTAACAGAGAGCATAACTAAAATCAGTGTGGTGTGGTAGTTCAAGTGGATGGAGTGGCACAGATTCAAGTCCCCACTTGGCTGCAAAGCTGACTGGATGAGCCAGGCACTCACTCTCAGCCTAACCTACCTCACAGGGTTGTTTGCTTGTTTGTTAGATATGTGTATTTATAGGCCTCCTATAACTGCTGAGGCCTTCCTGGGTGGCTTGCAATACAGCTTGTTGTTGCCTAGGCAGCTTGTTGTTATGAAGATGAAATGGAAAGCATTCAGTATGCCACCTGTTGGGAAAATTTGGATAAATCCTGTCTGAAAAGCATTACTCCTGTGTGCCTTTGAATTGTGGGATCAAATCCTGTCTTCCTTCTCAAAACCAAGCTGTCACTGTTTAAAATGGCATTCCCCGCTCCTTTCTCTCACCTTTAGCTGTGGGCTACAGTAGACAGACCATTTAGTCCAAATTTACATTGTATACCTTCACAATGATTAAATAATCATTGTTGGAATTCAGTTTTACAAGGAAGTAATCTTGATAGCCCAGAGGGCTTCATGTGCCCTGATCATGCAGAATGTTTGGAGCTTATCATGAATAGTTTCTAGTACCTTGAATTTGCATGTCTGAGCAGACCTGGAGATGGGTTAAAGTTACTCAACTAAAGTGTCAATACAGACAATTAGAAATATTTTAAACTCATTGTTATAGTGTGATTGACTGCCATTTCTTTATCTGTTCTGTAAGTGATGACCTCAGAATCTTATTGTAATCTCTGCATTCTGTCACTAATTGCCCTGTACCTGTGTACCTATACATGCCCTGTAATGGTATTGAAGCTTTGCTGCAGAGTCCATCTCTGCCTGCCCGGTAATGCATGCATTATCGTGAGTACCGCGGGAACCTAGGGGGTAAAACAATAAAGCCTCAGATGGTCTGGACGCTTGGTCTTTCCCACGAACCCGAGTTTTATTCCCTCTTCTCAAATTGAGATTCTGGGATTCTGACACACCTTGGAAAAATATATATGAGGGATATATATGCAGCTGATTAATAAAATCATCTACACAAAATAAACATCCAGTTGGATCCAAATTACCACCAGATCGTACTGATGGAAGCAGACTTCCTCACCCACCCCTTTGGCCCCCTGAAAATGCCAATGGTGCAGGAGGAGCTCTATCAATCACTTGGAGGGCCCTCTGGAAGTGAAGCTTTTGAGAAAGACCATCTTTCCCTCCTGGGAAGCCAGTGCAGTGTGGTAGTCACGAGTACAGGGCCAAGACTCAGGAAATCCGGGTCCTAGTGCCCACTCAGCCATAGAGTTCACTGGATGACTGGATGACTTTGGGCAAGTCAGACTCCCAGCCCAACCTACCTCAAAGGGTTGTTGTGAGGATAAGATCGAGAGGAGGAGAATTATGTAAGACTCCCTGAGTTCCTTGAAAGAGATACAAGGCAGGGTATAAATATACTCAATAAAAATAAAAGCGACTCTGGATCCAAAACATCAAGAAATGCCACGTAAAAAATACCCAGCATCCTGCTGGGTGGAAGATAAGATATGGCTGGAATCCTACTCTCGTGGCATCCGCCTTCTCTCTCTCCCCTCCCCCCACCCCGCCCTTTCATCAGCACTAATTGGCTCTTCTGATCTAATCTACTCTGAATGCTAATGAGAAGCGCGCGGGGGTCCGAGCGCTGCCCGCTCCCGCCTCGCCACACAATGGTCCATCTCCTTCTCCTCCCGCCATCGCCCTTTGACATGCGTGGCGGTAGGAGCCCAAGCCCCGCTGGGAGCCGCAGGCGGTGCGAGACAATGCCGGCCGCCTTGCCCGGGGCCCCTCCGCGAAGGTTTGCGCGGCCTCCCCCCACACTGTCGCTCCGACCAGCCCGAGTCAGAAATGGCGCCCTCCCCGCCATGCCTTGCCCCGCCAGCCCGCCATCACCGCCGCCACCACCTCGTGCAGCCGCTCGCAAGACCGGGCAGGCGACCTTCCTGAAGCGGTTCATGGGCAGCGCCCCCGTTCGTCCGTGCGTGTGCAAAGGACAGGCGTGTTAGGGATGTGTTTCTCCTTGCTAGCACGGGAAGCTTTTGCAATAGGGTGACCCATCAGTGGAATCATTCACTATTCTGTTACTATTACCATTATTACTATTTGGTGACAGACTTTAGAGCTACTGGGACCATCCCCTTTCACCAGGCAAAAACGGTGCTGCCCCCCAGCAGAGGAATTTCAGACGAGAGCCTTAGGACAGCCTCAGAAGATGGAACAGATGGATTATAAGTTTTTGTGGGGTAATAAGAGGCTGTTTTATCCAATGCATGAAGTTTTATCTTCAGCTGGCACTGGCATTTATTCATTAATTAATCCTGCCTTCCACCCCTTACCAAGCAGCCAGGATGAACATAATAGCAATAATCCATTAAAACCCAGAGAGCACCAGAGCAAACACACACACACACACACACACACACACACGACTGACCTAGTAAAAGAAGTGCAACATTAAAATAATATGCTTAGGGTTAATGCTAGTCCTACTGACCCATTGAAATGAATGGGACTTGGTGAGACTAGCATTGGCTATAAGCCATGGTAATTAAGAAAAAAAAACAAGTGAATTTATGGCTAAATAGCCATAAATTGCATAAAGTACTATTGGCACCATGTAACTCTTATACTATGCAAGGCAAGTACAACCAGTGAACATTCAAGCTGATATTCTCTTGTATGCATGCCTTAGCTTTATGGAGACTGTTGCTTGATTGTACTTTTACAGTTTCATGGCCATTTTGCTCACCTGTTTACCTGTCAGTCCTCCTCCCTATCCATGCCATCTGAGAAGTATTTCATGCATCTAATGAGGCAGACTCTGACCCACAAAAACTGTATGCTTTGATAAGTGTGTCCATTGTGATGGTGCTACCCAGGACCCTTTGTTGGCTTTGCTGCAACCGATTATCACAGGAAATCCATCTGGATTGCTTTTGCTGAGTGCCTGCTCTCTTAGGAGCCTAATTCTCCGTGGAACTGATGATTGGTGCTGGATTGCAGATGGGGGAGCACAGAAGATGCAAAAAGTGTAGAGCACGACTAAGCTTGAAATGTTTGAAAAGCAGTCCTCAAAAGAAACACATCATGGCACTTTTTTCCTCTTCTTTACTTCTCTTTTTTGGTCTAAGCATGAATAGGATTGCACCCTTACAGACCAGACAAAGTATCCTGCCATCCATGAGAGAGGCAGAAGAGAGGAAAGATCAATGAGCTCTGTTTGCTTGGCTTTTGTCTGAATGGAAGCATATCTGAGGAAAGAAAACTGTAAGGAAGTGCTGAAAGAAAGTGCGCCAAAAAGATCTGAATACAACAGAAGTGAGCCACGAACTGGAAACCCCTTGGCAGAAAAATGGGGTGGCTACCCTGAGATGGAGTGATGGCCAATAACCTAGAAGGCTTTTCAA